AAAAGAAAGAGGAAAATAAAAATAGAAGAGTAGCCGGACAAAAAAAATGAAAAAAAAACCAAACAATGGTACTAAACCATGCACGCGACACTTGTTACAGTCAGGGACATCAATTGCTGAATACGGACAATACCTAGTGGAACAGAAAGGCCCATGTAATTGTAGACCCATGGGCACCTGGTGGAACCATTGTGGTACTAAACCAAGCGACCAGAGCTTTCTGGTCTAGTACCACCACGCCAATTGACTAGAATTTTTTTTTTTGGGCAAGCCAATTGACTAGAATTGCAATAGAGGGATGGCTATAAAGGCTTGGTGCCCAGAAAAATATTTTTCACATGCTCCGTCCGTCTCACTGTGCCAGCATAATTTTACCTTTTTCTCAGTTTTATTTAACTCGGCTTAACTAAATTTTTTTCTTTATCTTTATCTTTACCTAATAATAAAAATAAAAGAATTGGGTTTCTGTCGTACGTCGTCGAGCGTGATTTTGCATAAAAGTCCCTCGGTTTACATAAAATTAACCCGCAGTCCCTGTTTAAGTGAGTCTGGGAAAAAACGATTCATTTTTAGAAGCAAGACCCTACGTTTGTAAGAATTTAACCTGTGATGTTTTTTAAAGTGGCTAATTGCAAATAATCAAGCGACGACGCGGCCCACCGCGGTTGCGGCAGCGGTGTAGGCGAGCGAGGCAGAGGAGCGGTCAACACCGGCGTCGAGGGCAAGGTAGGCCGGGCGCAGTGTCCTCCGGCGTGTGGTGGCGCATTGGACGGCGCAGGAGGCTGGGCGCGTCGATTCGGGTGAGGGAAGTGGGGTCCAGATCTGGTCGAGGACGGGGCAACCAGCGGCGGCGGCGTGGCTGACGCTGGACGGAGAGAGAGGCAGAGCAAGGCACGCCGAATCGCTGGATCGGCACACCTCCCCTAGCCTCCTTCCTCTCCCGGTCGTTGGGGAAGCAGGACGGCCACCTCTGCTGGACGCCCTTCCCTGGTCGACGACGAGCGTTGCGGGCTGACACGGTGGCGCCCTTCCGTTGTGGAGTACCGTACTAGGACGACGGCGGTTAAGGTCAACGCCCTGCTCGACGCCCCCATCTGCTGCTCGATGCGCCCATCCCCTCGCTGGTTGAGCTCAACGCCACCTTGCTCTGCCTCCGGCAGTCATCTCATCCAATCTGGCTGGTCCGCTCCCCACCTCGGCGGCTCCTTCAGTCCGGCAGCACACCACGCTCAAGCCTCCACCACCCCAACTCCTCAAGGTATAAGATTTGCTTTTTGTTTATACAGAGGATGCAAGATTCTACTGCTGCCGTGTAATAAGTAGCACTTGCAGTTACAGTAGACAAGGAGCTCCGCTCTACCTCTCATCTCTCTCCATGTCCTGGTGGTCACGGGCTGATGTTGCTGCTCCTCTCCTTCAGGATCTATCTCTTTCTCTTTATCTCTCACCCTCTCATGGATTGACAACTGCATTCTTCCCAAATTAATGTGTGCCTCTGTTCTTGATATTACGCCCACACCATGTTTGATGTTATGCTTATGAGGAGTTGAACTTCATTTTTTTTCAGGCTTTTCTTTGGTGTATCAGGCATTCAGGCTGGTGTAATTTGTTTTCAAAAGTGAACATGTTGTACAGTCCAATGTATCTACAAAAATTAAGTTATGGTGAGTTGTTCATCATGTTGCTTGCATATTTTTTGTCTAACAAGCTGGATACTTCAATTTTGAATATAAACATTGAGTAGGTGCTCAAATATTTTGCTAATGATAGTTTCCAACTTGCTTTTTAGCAGAACTACAGAACTATTAGCAGCTTTTAATTATGTGTACTTAAAATGGATTTGGTGTCCAGGACATGTGGAGTTGAGATCAGGTTGAATTATGTGCTGATGTTCTTCGATAGTATAATTGTTCTTCTCCTTTAACATGATGCACCATTGACTTATTTTTTTAGATGCTCAAATACATAGAGTAATGACATCCTGTATGCGCTTGGACACCCAGCAGATTGAAAATATAGAAGCAAAGATATCCAATACGAGGCCACGATGCCCGACAGAGATGCAGCCAATACGTGCCCAATCTTTATTTCTTGATGTTGGAACAACAAATAAGAGCATGTTCATGTTTACTTATTATGTTTTTTTTCGAGAAATTTTGGGGATTTACAAGCTGAAATTATTGACTGTCTGAAAAAATGTTTTAACCAAAACTGTTTGAACAATGTGCCCTGGTTCTGCATTCATGGAACTGTAAAAATATTGAACAAGTTCAGTTGGAGTTTTGTTCCTGTTAATATTCCATTCTTAGTGTCAGTTTCTTTCCACTTGCTCATTTAATGTTGAACTATACATGTACTTATTATTAAAGTTTTGTTGTCTTCCTAAACTAATTAGATTTTTTAAGCACTACTGAACTAATTGGATGCCATCTTAAATTACCTTCCCTTTGACATTATTGTACAGATTCCTGAAACACTGTCCCGAATTCCACTGCTACAGAATTGAAATTCGATTAGCACATGGTAAACCAGCTTTGATTCAGCAGGGTTATCAGCTTAGATTCGACTATTTTTAGTTCCTACAAGAGCAAACGATACGCTTATGTCAGTAGTTTTTAGATATATTCACTGGCTTCAGATTCTGCTGATGGATTTTTATGCTCTGTTCTGCTTCTAGAGCTTGTGAATGATGTTCATTGTTGTTTGAAAGATGCACTTTTTTATGCCTATATGTAAACGATGCAATTACTGGCTGAGAGATACACTTATTGGTGCTGTTCTGAAATGATGTTCATTACTGTTCTACAGATGCAGTAGACTGATGTTTATTGTTGTTTTGTTATTGTACAGAACGAGGACGGATCCAAGGTTGAGTACTGGGTGTGGAACCCTTTCAGATCCAAGTTGGCTGCTGTTGTACTATGTGGTGTGGACAACATCTGGATTGTATGTCTTTTTTGATGATTCCTTCCGGCGCCCTGTCATACTCATTGCTCTTCAGTTAACGAAATGAATGCACAGCAGCAACACAGGCAGTAGCAGAATGGGGTATAATGAATGTTTTGTTTGAGTCTGACTGTCAAACGCTGGTTCGTGTTTCTAGATTTTCTAGCTAAGGGCTGGTTTTGTTTAGCTGGAACACAAATCACGATCAGATGTACCTATTATGACGATTTCGGATCCGTGCTAACTATTTCTAATTTTGAAATTATTCCTCAGAACACATGATTACATTACATTACACACTGAAAAATGGTGCAAAGTGGGAGTTGGTACTAAAGCGTATAGCTCTTTTTGATCTGCACAGAAATTTCAGTAATAATATGTGCCACTCATTTTGTTACCAAAAGCTGGGATGATTTTTACACTTTGTTTCCTGGTCCCCTTTCCATTTTGACAAATTTATTATCCCGAAGTTTATGCATAATGATGAAATATTCTGTGGTAGTATGTCGAATGCAGTTTAGTATATTCCCGTTGGTTCTGTAGTGATTTTTAGCTCCGACCATTTTCTCTCTAATTTTATTTTAAGGTCTACTCTTTTAAAAGTTTTTATTATGTTTTTCTTGAAAATAAAAGATTGATACAAAAATGGCACCTACTATCATTACAGGTCCGAGGAATTACAGCTTGGGGACTTGGGAGGCGATCGTAAAAGCGGTGTGCTACAGTGTAATGCACTAGCAATATGTGAAGATTTTTTTTACGGAGGAGGTTAATAAACAATCAGAAAATTCTTTTGCCCCCTTAGAAAACTATGTTCCGTGTTTGGCCCCTCTGGGCATTGATGTGAAGCTCTACAGTCGTGTAATATGACCAAACTCATCACCTCGGGGTTGATCACATTCGTCGTGAATAGGTGGATAACATGACCATCATCGACAATGGTGGCAAGCAAGAGAAGTGGAATCATAGACTAGGACGAGCGAGGATTTGTTTAACCCGTTGCAACGCACGGGCCCTTTTGCTAGTAGTTTTTTAATCGAAAAAAGCGAATGTCAAACAGTTTCCAAATTTTGAAACTACTAAAAAACCAAAAGCTGAAAAACGAAGATTTTGGTTAGTTCTTTTTTTCCGGTTTTGTTTTGCACTGCCTGACTATTTGCCGCCCGCAAGCGGCAAATAGTTTATGGCAAGGCCGCATCATCGATGAGTTGGGCCAGCCCAACCAACCCCTAAGAAGGTGACTAGCAATTGGACCATTTAGGGAAAATAATACCCTATTTGCTGCCGGCGGGTGATCCACCGACGAATTCCCAATTGAGGGACGAGCGTCATGGTCGCCGGTGATCGCCTGAACCGAAGCTCTGACACCAATTGTTGTAACCGTGGCTATGCCCTAGCTCCACCTCTCTCTCACGCTGCACCTTTCTCTCTTTCTCCGAACCAGATCAACAGAAGAAGGAGGAAGGATAAGGAAGAACAAGGACACGAGCAAGTTTCTTTCCAGGTGCACGAACACCTTTTTTTCCTGAGCACGAACTCAGCCGCTTTCTTGCGATACACGGAGGACTAGCGATTTATACGCGCGCACATACGCCACGCCGTGCCCACGGCGCTCCACTCGCCCACGCCCCACGCCTGTCGCCCTACCTGGCTCGCGCTCCCGCCGCGCCCGTACGCGGACGACGCGGCCACTAACTGCCCGGCCGACGCGGTCACCCCTCCGGCTCCATCACCAGCAAACCTACGCACGCGCGCACACTCCCTCGGCCACACATACATGCACCCGAGCCTGCCACGGGCTGGTCCCGACGCGTCCGGCGCACACACGCGCACGCGTTCAAGACCGCCACGGCTTATTCCTAACATTTGCTGCTGGCGGGTGATCCACCGAAAAAAGGACCTGACGAATCCCCAAACGAAATAAGTCAGCTGATACATAGACACTCTAAAACTATTTTTGTTCTTTCCCGCAAAAAAGAACTATTTTGTTGTCAGTTGGTCAGTATATATATGGGCTGGCTGTGCGAAGCAACAAGCAAATCACCTACAGCGCCATGGCCAGCACTAGAGGCGCATGTGCTCCACTCGCGGCCGCGGCCTTCGTCTTCCTCGTGTGTGTGGCGGCCATGGTTCTCTACACCACCAGCTTCTCTCTGTCAACAGCGCTACTAGCCGTCTCTGGCCTACGTTCAGACGACGTGTTCACCATCCCACATGCACTTACCACCAAAAGCAGCGGCGACTCGAACGTCGGCGGGCCTCTCCACACCAGCGTCCACACGTGCCGCAAGCCAAAGCTGCCGCCAAATCCGCTCCCGCCCTTCTACTGCTGCCCCCCAGCATCCGCGTCGTTGTCGGAGCCAATCAACTTCACTCTCCCGGACCCGGCGGAGCCGCTCAGGGTCCGGCGGCCCGTGCACGCCGTGGGGGCGGAGTACATGGCCAAGTACGAGCGCGCCATCGCGCTGATGAAGGCGCTGCCCCACACCGACCCGCGCAGCTTCTACCAAATGGCCAACATCCACTGCGCCTACTGCACCGGCTCCTACCGCCAGACGGGAAACCAGGAGCTGGACATGCAGATCCACTTCTCGTGGTTCTTCTTCCCCTTCCATCGCGCCTACCTCTACTTCTTCGAGCGCATCGCCGCCAAGCTGCTCGGGGAGCCCGACTTCGCGCTGCCCTTCTGGAGCTGGGACGTGCCGGACGGGATGCGGATGCCGCCCGAGTTCGCCAACTCCTCGTCGCCGCTGTACGATCCTGTCCGGAACCCTAGGCACGCGCCACCCAGTCTTGTGGACCTGGGCTTCGTCGGCGTGGAGAGCAACCGCACAGACGAGCAGCAAATCCAGCACAACCTTAGGACCATGTACAAGCAGGTGCGTCGCCTACGTACGCTACTATCTTTTATTTTTGAACTTTCCTTTAGCAGAATATTTTCGAACTTATTTAGTACTTTCTCCTTCCGTAATTTCTTGTAGCTCGAAAGGATGTATATGTATTTTAGTGGTAAATATATCCGTTTGAGCGACAAGTAATTTCAAACGAAGGCTTACGTACGTGCATGTATACTATTATTCCTCACAGAATGATAAATACGGCCTGTCTGACAACTGTATTTCAGATGATTGGCAATGCAGCTTTGCCGTCCCTCTTCCATGGCCAGCCCTTCCGTGCTGGCCAGTCTGACAAGCCAGGCCCTGGGACAGTGGAGCTGTCGCCACACAACACGGTGCACACCTGGACCGGCGACATAGCTCTCACCAACGTGGAGAACATGGGAACCTACTACTCAGCCGGCCGAGACCCACTCTTCTACCCACACCACAGCAACATAGACCGCCTGTGGCAGGCATGGCGCGAAGTTGGCGCTGCCCGTGGTTACCGTGGCCATGTCGACTTCATGGACCATGACTGGCTCGACTCCTCCTTCCTCTTCTACGACGAGGAGTCCCGCCTAGTGCGGATCACCGTCTGCAACGTGCTCGATACAGAGAAGCTCCGGTACAAGTTTGATGGCGTTGGCATGCCGTGGGTGAACGCACGCCCACCTACAACTCCAAACATGAGCAAAAAGAAAGCCTTGCTCAAGTCCGTCAGAATTCCACTATCCCTTCACAAAGTTGTGACCGTAGAGGTAAGACGACCACAAGTGCTTCGAAGCACGCAAGAGAAGGGGGCGCGTGAGGAAGTACTGGTGATCGAGGGCATTGAGACCGACGGAACAGAAATGGTCAAGTTTGACGTCTACGTGAACGCCATGGAGCACGAGAAGGTGAAGCCCAGTGGGCGCGAGCTAGCAGGGAGCTACATGTGCTTGAGTAATCCACGTATCGATGGCACAGGCAAGGGGATGCCTGTAGAAACAAGCATGAGGGTGGCATTGAACGAGCTCTTGGAAGATTTGGATGCCGATGGTGATGACACCGTGACCGTGACATTGGTGCCCAGACATGGGAAGGTTAAAATCAGAAGCCTAAGAATAGTGTACATGGTGGAATGAGATTACAGTACCATCAAATTGCATAATGTATTGTAAATTTGGAGTGAGATTACAGTTATGGAAGCGAATCATCAAGTTGTGACCCAATTGATCTGCAGCTGTATGAAATACCCAATGTGCCCTTAAAGCCAGAAAATACTACAAGCAAATGTGTTGTAGCATTGCGTAATTTGGGCACTATCCCGAAAATAAAATACCCTAAATGATTTGATGTACTATAAAAGAACTCAGGAAATAATGCGAGCCAATGTCTCTTATATTGCAGTACATCCATGCCACTCAAACTGGTAGTTCAGCTTTTTTGAAAAGCGGAAATGATAATCTTTGTCTTGGTTTTGTAAATCTGAAAGTAAGTGCAATATATCTTGTACATACCCAAAGTATACAATACAGATAAAAAAAAGCAATTTGAAGTGCCAAAATCATAAATACTCATATTTGATTTTTTTAGGCAAAACTACTCATATTTGATGGTCTAGATTAAATTACATAAACATTTGTGAAGGATAAAGGCCAAACAAGCCCAGTGCCATGGATGCATGGTGGTAGCATTTGCTTATCGTGTTCCATACGCACTTGATAAATCAACATGCACACCTAATTTTGTTTACATCAACATAGTTTCTTTTCATCTTTTCCTTAATAATTATTTTGGAACCGACTGAATTCAATAAAGATTGAAATATTAGGTTCATATTGATATAATTTTTACGATTATAGGGCTAACCAACACTTTCATATTTTATTGGGAAGATGGTAAAAGTCCTACCATAAGATTTTTTAATGTAATGAACAATATTTAGTGACTTTAAATAGTTGTACTCAACTAATTTATGCATGGCTGGTAAATCTAAACAGTTTTCATATTAGACATTGATTTTAATAATACATATTTATATGAGCTCAAATTATTTAGAGTTTTTTCACCCAATGTGGAATTTGTATTTATATTCACGCTCGCATTTTGTGTATATAATTTTTATGGTTCACAAAATTTAACTTTGTTCAATTGGCACACAGATTGAATTTTGAATATCATCTAGCCATTTGGTTAGTGGACGCTCTCTCTGTTACTGCATCACAACTAAGATATTCTTAATTTATGAAACGTCACGAAAGATAGACCTTCATAGTTGCACATACACATGTAACGTATGGTATAGTTTAATAACAACTTATATTTTATATGCCTTTGCAATTATATCTAAAAGTAAAAACTGATCATTATGAATGTATCATGTTTCGATAAAGGTGCTTTCTATTGACCCATCATCATGAAGCATCAAGTGGATACAGAACACAAAGAGTAGACACCTGGCCTATGCGCAACTAGGATGCACGCAATCGACACCAAAACACACACACACACACACACACAGA